TAATACCCTTTTGCTTTAAAATCATGCTACTGAAATTTTGCTCATACCCCTTGTGCCCCCATCAAAAAGAGGTTCACACATGTGCTCCACACATATTATCTAGAAAGGGCAGAAGACCTCCTAGGCAGCATTTATGTTATGAGTTCTAACATCTCAGCTGATGTAATGGAAAAAACATACCAAAATTCTTTTGCAGTGCCATAGCTAGAAAGGCTGCAGACATCACGTTGTCCTAGGAACAGAGACTAGGCTGATAGCAGACAGAGCTAATCCTCTCTGTTTCCTCCTCCCCTAGGTGTATCAGTCACCTCCAGTAACACGGGCGTGCCAGATATCTCGGGTTCTGTGTACTCCAAAACCCAGGTAGGTGCCTGGTGTGGATGAAAGTAGAAAGAGATGGAGGTGGAGTTGCAGTTAGAACAACCCTCAGGAGAGGTGTCCGAAACCCATTCTACCTTTTCTAAATGAGTTATCTGTAGACTTCAGTTTCTCTAGGACTTTATGAGAAATGTCATAGGAAGGTCAAGTGTTGTAAATTATAATTTAATGTCATTTATTTACTGTGCAAATGGTTTTGGCCCCTTGACCTATCCACTCAGTATTTTCATAACTTTGCAAGAGAATAAATATGGAAATGAAGGGAAACTAGTTAATTTCATTCTATGTAAGTTCATAACCATGAGTGGAAATGAACTGAGTAATTTGTTACTGAGTTATCTATAGGTATGTGTTTTCATTTTTATGTCCCAGAACCTTTCATACTCAAGATATCTCTTCAGTTTTTTATTCATTTCTTCAGAGATATCTACAAAGTTTTAATTTATGCTAAGCCACAGAGGCAGGAATGTACAATTTTATTTTTATTTATTTATTTTGAGGAAGGGTTTTATTCTTTAGTCCTGGCTAGCCTGGAAGTCACTGTGTAGATCAGGCTAGTCTCAAACTGTAGAGATCCATCTGCTTCCCAAGTAATTAGAATTTAAGGTGTGCAGTATCATGCCTGACTAATGTAAGATTTTATGGGTGCTTTGACAGTCATCTTTCTGCTTGATCCTTGTGACAAGAGGTCAGTAGTAGCGCTCTCTCTCTCTCTCCCCCCCCTCTATATATATATGTTTATTTTGAGGCAGGCTTTCTCTGTGTAGCCTTAGTTGTTCTTGGCTGTCCAGAAACTCCCTCTGTAGACTAGGCTGGCTTTGAACTCAGATTCTCCTGCTTCTGCCTCCTGAGTACTGGATTAAAGGTTTGCACTGCCATTGCCTGATTTATCTCTTTTATTTTGAGGAAACTGAAGCTGAGTGGTTAGTTAGCCTAGGATCATGGAGCTATGAAAAAAAAAAGAAGAGCTAGGACTAAGACTTTTGAATGTTTGACTTGAGGTGTGCTATTGTTTCTGACCAAGCTGCTTTCTGAGGATAGAGGTACTTGGGCTCAGTAAGTTTTTCTGATGATCCCTTTTATTCTTTCTCCTGTTTTCCTGGGATAGCAGTCCTTTGAGAAACAAGGTTTTCATTCCGGTACTCCTGCTGCCTCCTTCAACTTGCCTTCAGCCCTAGGAAGTGGAGGGCCCATCAATCCTGCCACAGCTGCTGCCTACCCACCTGCCCCCTTTATGCATATTCTGACCCCCCATCAGCAGCCACATTCTCAGATCCTTCATCATCACCTGCAGCAGGATGGCCAGGTAATAGCCCTTCCCCCTCTCTCCTTTCCCTTCATCTTCCTTCCTATCCCTTAAAACTGCCTCCCTTTTCCTTTTCTTACCCTTCCTTACCACCACCTTCACCCAGCCCTCCCAGTGCCAGCCAGGGGCACAGCACATACAGACACAAGCGCACATAACATGAGCAGTTGGCAAAGGAAACATGAGAGAATGGGCCAGACTGAAACCCTTTTGCCCAGTTCCTTTGGTACCTTTCTCCTCCACCTCCCGTGGCACAGTTGTCCTCATCCTGTCAGACCTGGGTCACACCTTCCCTTGTAACCTCTCCCAGCCTTCTCCCTTCCCTGACATTATAGCTTTCCCTTCTAATGGTGGAGTTCTATTGTCAAAAGTTTGTCCCTTTATTTTCCATATATCCTGGTTCTGCCTCAGCTACCATATTTGCAGATGATTCTCTGTTGCCAGCGCCAGCAGGAGGAGCAGGTAATGAAACTGAATGATAATATGCTTGAACCAACTTCTTTTTAGTCCCCATTTCACCTCCACGGCCTCAGATAACTTGAAAAGCCTACCCAATCACAAATCGGATACACAAACAGAAACACTATGCTAAGCTCTCTGGCCTCCCCATCCTCTCTTCCTTCCCTCTTCAACACCCTCTTTATCTTTCTACCCTTCCCCAACTCTGGAAAACACTTGGTTATCACAATGGAAAAGATTCCAGGGGCAGCATCTGGAGCCTGGTGCCTCAGGTCTTTCCTTTGTTTGATTGGTTTCACATTAATTAATGTGTGGTGGTGGGTGGATCTGAATGGTGGTAAAAGAGACCACTTAAGAACTCCAACATAGGTGGCTGGGCAACTTTCTTGCCCTCAAAGCTTTCCATATTGAGGCATTCACAGAGGTGAGTGAAAATGTAATCATCTTGTGATCACTCACTTAAAAAAGGCCAGAATTCTCATAGTTGTTTAGACCAGGACAATAGGTAGTAGGGAAGACAACTGACAGGAATGGAACCAACTCACCATATTATCTCCAAAGTGTTCTTGTCCATTTTTCCTGTACTTTAAGGTTAAAAAGAAAAACGTCGCCTTGTAAAAGAGGCTATGTAGAATCAATTTTCTATGCTTGAAATGTTGGCTTCATAGTCGGCTCTAAGTAAAGGAAATGAGAGAGTAGAACTATTTTACACATTTCCACGTCAAGATGTTACAGTTTGGTCCCACTAACTAGACACCTTTCTCCTCCCCCATAACCCTCCCATCCCTGCAGACGGGCAGCGGGCAACGTAGCCAGACCAGCTCCATCCCGCAGAAGCCCCAGACCAACAAGTCTGCCTACAACAGCTACAGCTGGGGGGCCAACTGAGGCCCTGACCCTCTTCTCCCGGTCCCATCTTCTGAGAGGGCTTCTCAGCCTGGAAACTATGGAAACAGCATCAAAGAGAGAAAAGAATGTGGGGCGATTCCGCTGCTCCACACCCCAGCGGCCCATCCCACACCTCAGCTTCATGTCTGTCCCATTCCTATACCATCCCACCCTGTTGTATGTATTATAGGATTTGTATTTTCTCTCCCCCCCACCCCCTTCCTCTTTGCATTCAAGATTATGAAACTTTGCTCTGGGCCCTGCCTTTCCTTCACTTCTTCCTGTTCACCCTGGTGGTGTATGGATGAGGTAGGGAGGTACCCCCCAAATATATATCAGCCCAACGGCCCTAAGTCTTCTCCTTTATTATTAGGAAAACCAAACAACACACAAAAAATGGCGTCATAAATATGAACAGCATTGTCATATGAATTAGTTGAAGTGTTTTTTTTGTACTGTGTCCTCAAACTTAATGGATTAATGTGTCTTGTATATATATACATATATATATAAAAAAAGGAGAAAAAAAAACCAAACCTCTACCTTCAGCCTCTGCCCATTCTTGCTCCGTCTAGGATATCCTCACTCTCGTCGATGACCAGCTTGGTGAATAAGTATTATCGTACCAACTGGGCCTCTCTAGCAGGCTCGAAGGCTGTGGAATAAAGTGAAATCTTTGCCCTTTAAGAACTCTCACCTTAATGTGCTAGTGTTTTGCCCTTAAGGGGATTCCCTTTCATACCCCGTGACTGGAAAGAACCACTACAAATCTTCATTTCTCCTAGAAACTGTCTCATCTACAGCAAGTTTCAGGAAGTGAAGCAGGGAGGAGTAAGAACAAAGGATAAAGGACTGGGAATCCAAGCGTGCTTTTAAAGGATGCTGCAGTGTGAAGCCAACAGTAGCTGTTGACTGGCACAACTCAAGCTTAGGCCCCTTTCTCTTTATAGAGGTAGACTACAGTACTTGTCTGAACTTTTTTCAGACAGTCTTACTGTGTAACCATGACTGACCTCTAACTTGTATGGAGACCAGGTTGGTCTCAATTGCAGAGGTCTGCCTGCCTTGCCTATTTTACGTGGCTTAGAAATGCCCAGTTTCTGGGAAAGGGGTGGATGATGGAGAGCAAGACCTGGGGTGAGGGCATGGTGTGGTAAAAGGTTTTGAACTTCAATTACATGGGAAAGGGAGTTTTATTTGCTTTATAAGAGCCTGAAACTCATCATATTGCCAAGGATTCAAGAGCTTCTGCCTCGGACTTCCCAAACTGCAAGTATCCTCCTGGCTTGGGTGGGGAGGGTGTGTGTTTGAGTCAGGGTCTCGCTAGGTAACTCAGTCTGTCTGACATGAAATTGTGTACACCAGGCCGCATATAGAGTTCCGCCTGCCTCTGCCTCTGGAGTGCTGAATCTCAGTTACACACTCTTTGTTCCTTTCCTTTTGGGGGTGCTTCAGTAGTTTCTCTTCCCTGCCTAGTAGAAATCCTACCTTGTTGGTTGCAGTCTGTTTTCAAGTTTAGGAGTGCCTAGGCGCGAGGGAGGCAGAGCAGGCAGATCTCTAAGTTTGAGGCCAGTCTTGTCTAAAGAGTTCCCAACAGCCAGGGCCACGCAGAGAAACCGTGTGTTGAATAAACACATTTAATTTTTTATGGCCAAAACTAATTCTCTACTAGCTCAGGAGGTTCTTGGTATCCTTCCTCTTCTCTGTTGAACAGTAAGGAAATCGCTCTGGAGGGAGCTTGGTAAAACACTGCCCAACAAATAGTGTTGGACGTCACTTAACATCGGTCTAGAAACACGAAGTGGGGGTGTTTTCTGAGGCAGGGCTCGGGACAGGCTGCTCCCTCTGGCGGCTTTCTCGGAACCATAAAGAGTAACAAAAACATCCGTTAGGACCTGGCAGATGGGCAGGAAGAAGAATTACCTAGAAGGAATACTATCTTGGGCCGTAGGGATTCCACATGCCCACCTTCACTCAAAACTGAAAGGTGGCTTATGAGAAAGAAGCTTCGCGTCTGAGGAGCGCAGCCAACCCCGCCTCTTCCTTCTCCGGGTTACGGCCTTTTTACGACAATGCCGCGTCGCAGTCTTGGTTTCCGGCAGCTACAGCTGAGCCCGAGCTCTTTCTGACAGGGTGTTCGCTCATGTCCTGCAGAAGTTTGAAGTTTCTAGTGCCCCTACGGTAATGAGCTTCTTTGACCTTTTCCGGGGCTTTTTCGGCTTTCGTGGACCTCGGAGGTGAGCGTAGTTCTGGGCTGAACATGAGGGAGGGGCGTTCTTTGGGGACGTTTGACCCCTTCGCCGTATTTTTGGAAAGCTTCCTTCCCCGCCCCCTTCAACTCCTGCTGTGAGGATAAAAATCTCTACCTTGAGTACTCGCTTCGCCACAGTGACCAAAGCGGTTCTGAAGAGAGAAACAGTGCCTGTCTCCAGTCTGGGGTGATGCAACAGGGACCTGGGCGGAGAAGACTATGGGGGTCTGGGGAAGAGGACAATGAGCAAGTGAGCAGGACCTTGGGCCAAAGGAGTGGGCAGTGAGACACTGAAGAAAAACCAGGGAGGCGTTTGCGAGATGTCGGGAGGTTGGGATAGGCTCTAATTAGAAACACACAAAACCTGAATAGATTCATCAGCGTTGTTTTGACTTGGAAGCCAGCCCTCCGGTGTTTTCTTCAGCTGCCTAGAGCCTTACCCTTGTCCCATTTTGCTGGCCTTCGGTTGATTTTATTGCTTAGACAGGCTTGTCTGCCTCCACTCGCAGCCACAGAGATCCCTTTTTTGGAGGGATGACTCGAGATGATGACGATGATGACGAAGAGGAGGAAGACAGAGGCACGTGGGGTCGAGGGAGCTATAGGTTTGATGGTTCTCAGCCTCCGGAGGAATTCGGTTTCAGCTTCAGCCCAGGAGGAGGGATGCGATTCCACGACAACTTTGGCTTTGATGATCTAGTACGAGATTTCAATAGCATCTTCAGCGAGATGGGGGCCTGGACCTTGCCTTCCCACTCTCCTGGTGTGTAGATTTCCCTGAGGAGAACTTACTGGGTTACTGGGTGAAATACAGACCTTGTAGAGTAGTTGGGGATGGAGAGTGCAAAAGCTGATTTCACAAAGATTTAATGTGTCTTAAGTCCTTTCCTATCCCAGTATCACCTCCCAACTTTCTGCAGAACTTCCAGGTCCCGACTCAGAAACACCTAGTGAGAGACTGCGGGAAGGGCAGACGCTGCGGGACTCAATGCTTAAGTACCCTGATAGTCACCAACCCAGGATCTTTGAGGGGGTCTTGGAGAGTCATGCAAGACCTGAATCCCCCAAACCAGCTCCAGATTGGGGGTCTCAGGGACCTTTTCATTGGGTGAGTACTCTGTCTGCACCTAAAGTGCAGTGACTAGACCCTTTCCTGGAATCTGAGTTGGAATTCTAGCTCCTCTAATTAGTGCATTTATCTGAATTTTCTTCTTTGTTGGGCTTTTTGTTTTGAGTCTTGGGACCCACTGTGTAGACTAGACTGGCCTCAACTTTAGAGACCTGCCTCTGCCTCTGGGTTAAAATGTGCTAGCACACCTAGCCTGAGGCTTATTTATTTTGTTTTATGCGTATGAGTGTTTTGCCAGCTTGTTTGTCTCTGTACCGCATGTGCCTGGTGCTCACAGAGGGCATTGAATACCCTGGAACTCAAGTTATAATGGTTGTGAGCCACCATACCGGTACTGGGAGCTATAAACTATGGTTTCCTGCAAGAGTGTTCCCTACCCTCTCTTTTATTTTATGTATGTATATATGTATGTATGTAAGTAAGTATGTATTTTGAGACAGGGTCTCTCTGTAGCCTTAGCTATCCTGGAACTTGCTGTGTAGATCATGCTGGACTCAAACTCAGGGACCTGCCTACCTTTATGTTTGTTAGTTAGGTTTTTTGTTGCTGTTTGTTGTTTTGAAGATTTTTTTGTTTTGCTGGGTGGTGGTGGTGCACGCCTTTAATCCCAGCTCTCAGGAGGCAGAGGCAGGTGTATTTCTGAGTTTTAGGCTAGCCTGGTCTGCAGAGGGAGTTCCAGGACTGGAGTCACCTACTGAAGAACCCTGTCTCAAAAAATGAAAAAAGAAAAAGCTTTATTTATTTTGTGTATGTGTGCCTGTGTGAACTTTTGTGTACCATGTGGGTGAAGGTGCCTGCATTATGAGGTGTTGAATCCCCTGGAGCTCTAAGCTGCCTGATATCCTGTAGAAGAATAGCAAATGTTCTAAACCTATGGACCATCTTTCCAGCCTGTTGCTTCCATTTTCTTTTTGCAGTAGAGGAGAATAGAATACAAAGGGAAAATGGAAATATTCTGCCCATTTTTCCCCCCATGAGACAGGTTTTTTCATGTCATTCTGGATGTCCTGGAATTCTCTCTATAGACCAGGCTGGCCTTGAACCTGACTCTGCTTTTTTTTTTTTTTAATTACTAGTTTTAATTCTTTAATTTAATTCTTGGTTAAAAAGGGGTCTTGAGGCTGGGCATGATATTGCATGCCTTTAATCCTAGCACTCTTGAGACAGAGTCAAGCCAGTTTCTGTGAGTTCAAGGCCATCCTGGTCTACACACAAAAAAACCTGCCTCGAAAACAAACACACACACACACACACACACACACGAAAGAAAGGAGAGGGAGGGAGGGAGGAAGGAAGGAAAGAAAAAGGAAGAGAGAAAAAGAATCTTAAGTTGGACATGGTGGTGCACACCTTTGATCCCAGCACCAGGGAGGTAGAGGCAGGCAGATCTGTGTTTGTTCGAAGCCAGCCTGGTGTATTGAGTATGTTCCAGGATGAGAAATTCTGTCTTGAAAAAAAAGATCTTGAAGATGCAAGGTGCAGGAAAGTATTTCATGAAGTCAGTTGGTAGAAGTCCTTATGGAACTGCTGAAGGTGTGTGAACATAAGCCGCCCAGATGGAAGTGTTTGGGGACTTAGGAGGAGTCTGGGCCTCTGACCCTTCAAGTTTCACCAACTCTGTGTGGCTTCCTCTGCAGCTGGATGATATATGGCCTGTCACCCCCCGTTCTAGAGCCAGAGAGGACAATGGTGAGTCTGGCGGGAGGGCACACTTGCCATGTCCTCCACCTCCAGCTCTCTCAGGAGTCTTCTCCTCCACTCTCTCCTGGCTGTTATCTCTCTGCCTTTTCAGATCTTGACTCCCAGGTTTCCCAGGAGGGTCTCGGTCCACTTCTTCAACCCCAACCCAAACCCTATTTCAAGAGCATCTCTGTGACCAAGATCACTAAGCCAGATGGGGTGAGTTGAGAGAGAAGAGTTTAATACTGGTTAGAAAATGCTCTGAAAAGAAGGACTCAACAGTGGTGTTGTTGATATGCGGATCTTCTTGCAGGCCGTGGAGGAGCGCCGCACTGTGGTGGACAGTGAGGGACGGAATGAGACCACAGTGACCCACCACGAAGCACATGACAGTTCCAGCAGTGGTATGTTAAGAGTGACTCAGAAAGGCCCATCTCTTAACTCCTTGGGGAAAGGCTATGCCTCCTTACTGACACTTTCCCTCTGTCTTGTTTATTCTGTCAATATGTATGATTTCTTCCTTAGATCCAGTCTCTGAAAGATCTTCAGCTCTGGATGATCCCTTTTCCATCCTGGATTTGCTCCTTGGACGTTGGTTTCGGTCCCGGTAGCTTTGTTAATAACCTTTAGAAGTCTTCAGGTCCTTTCCACTCCCTTCAAATTGCCCATTGCCAATAAGCTTAGCTTTGTGTGTCATCCTAAGGGTTGTAAGTGTGAGTGAAACAATGCATTGAGCTTGTGCCAGTCTGTCATTCATCCAAACTAACCAATAAAGCCTTTATTTATGCTAAAGGTCTTGGTTTTGTCGAGGTTCTTTTGCTTTCTTTACCCATCCAGGGCTTCCAAAATTATCTTGACTTACAATTTTATATTGTGTGTGTACACAGGAGTGGTGTGCACATGTAGAAGTCAAGGCTACATGTGGGAATGAGTTCTCTCCACTGCGTGGGTTCCAACTCACATTCTCAGACTTGGGAGCAGTTATTCTTACCAACTGAGGTGTCTCTCTAGCCCTTCATTATTGAATTTTTAAAATATTTTTCCATTTCCAAATCAAGACTTAATAAATTAGATGAAAGAAGAAAATTATTTTATGACTAAGGAAATAACTAGAGGTAATTCCAATAACATTTCTAGAAGAAGGGCGTCTCAGACTGCCAAAAGGCGTTGGCAGGGAACTAGGGTAGCTGCTCCCTTAAGTATAAGACCACCGGCTGAACAACTCTGTGGGAGATAGACAGGTCTCACTGTGTTTTTTCTGATCAGCCTGGAGTGCCCTGTGTAGACCAGGTTGGCTTTGAACTCAGATTTTCTGCTTCTGTCTCCTGAGTGCTGGGATCAAAGGTGTACGTCTGTCTCTCTCTCTTTCTTAGGAATTTTTTTAAGATTTATTTATTTACTTATGTACGCACTGTTCTGCCTGCATGCATGCTTGCACTCCAGAAGAGGAAACCAGCGCTCATTACAGATGGTTGTGAACCACCATGTGGTTGCTGGGAATTGAACTCAGGACCTCTGGAAGAGCAATCAGTGTCTTAACCTTTGAGCCATCTCTCCAGACTGCTTTTATTTCTTTATGTTTTAATTTATTATTTTTTCCTGTTTAATTACTATTTATTGGTTTTAATTAATGTTAAAAATATACCTAGCAGAAACAGATTTTTTAAATTAAAAAATCTTTTTAGCTAAGCTGAAGTTTTTCTTTTTCTTGTTAACTTTTTTGAAACAGGGTCTGACTATAGACTATGGCCCATCTGACTTAGAACTAATTATGTCATCCCAGGACAGTCAAGGCTGCGTAGAGAAACCCTGTCTCAAAAAACCCATAACCCTGTCTCGAAAAATTTTTTTAAAAAAGCTTTATTTTGTGTATGTGTGCCTGTGTGAACTTCTGTGTACCGTGTGGGTGAAGGTACCTGCATTATGAGGTGTTGAATCCCCTGGAGCTCTGAGCTGCCTGATATCCTGTAGAAGAATATCAAGTGTTCTTAACCTGTGGGCCATAACAACAAAAATATAACAATCAAGGACAAGAGATAGTAGTTTAAAAAAAATCTATTGAGGATTGGGAGGGATGGTGGTGCCCACCTGTAGTCCCAGCAGTTGGTAGGCAGATCTCTTAAGCCAGCATGGTCATAGAGTGAGTTCCAGGACTTCCAGGGTCACACAGAGAAACCCTGGTATAAACAAACAAAATCTGTTATTTTGTTCTCTTATTTTTGGTTGGTAGAACTTTTTGTCTATTTTACTGTAGCCAAAGTTATCTTTGGATATTAAACTCTTTGTTTAATGTGCATTGTTTGTTTTGAAATCTCTTCTAAACCAAGATTAAAATGATATTTCTCTGTGGTAGCTGCTAAGTTTTTGTTGTTGTTGTTGTTATTGTTGTTGTTTTTGGTTTTTCGACGTGGTTTCCCGGTGCAACAGTCCAGGCTGTCCTGGAACGAACTCACTTTGTAGACCAGGCTGGCCTCGAATTCACAGAGATCCACCTATCCCAAGTGCTGGGATTAAAGGCGTGCACCACTGTCCAGCTATTGATAGTTTTGTTGTTCTGAATGTGTCGAATGAACTGGGCAGTGGTGGCGTAGGCCACTGAGGCATGAACCTTGAACCTGAGCCATATTCCCAGGCCTGATATGATTTCATACTAGTATTTTTTAGGTTTTTAATTCTGAATTTGATCTTTATATATGGCATAAATCCTGAAAAAGGTTTGTTTTTATTTTATGTATATAGGGTTTTTTTGTGCCCATATATGTATGAGCACCATGCGCATGTCTGGTGCCTGTGGTGGTCAGAAGTGGGCATGGGATTTCCTGGGCCTGGAGTTACAGACAGTTGTGAGCCACCATGTGGGTACTAGGAAGTGAACCCAGGTCCTCTGAAAGAGCAGCCAGTGCTCTAAGCTGATGAGCCATCTTCCCAGCCCTTCTTTATAATACTCTTAAATATGATAGGGCCAGGTATAACCTGTAACTCCAGGCAGAGACCAGGCTGGTCTACACACTGAGGCCCTCTCAAAAATACAACTGCTATCTTGACTCTAGTAGGTGATTTCCAACTCATAGGGATACAATGGATTGTCTGATGTGCTTTTCAGTGTTTAATCATAAATATTAAGCCAAAGATCACCAGATATAAGGAAATCTCACACGAGTAATAGAGCTTTATACAAACAAAAATAACTTGGCACAAACTCTATACAAAGAGGAGAACCTGACAAGTAAACAAGTCTCTGTGGTTTTTGAAATATGAGATAATAATATATGAAAATGTCACAAAGGAGCTACTAAATTGTCTCAGTAGATAAAGGCATTTGCTGCTCTAGTTCCATCTTCAGGACCCACACGGTAGGAAAGGACTGATTTTTCATGAGCTGTCTTCTGACCTCCAACAATGACATATGTGCCCATACACACATACAGATGTAATAAAAAATTAACATAATGATCCAACAAAACAAAATAAACACTTGCCACTGTGGCTGACAAGCTGAATTCAATCCCCAGGACTCACATGGTGGAAGGAGAACCATCTCACAGATTGCCCTATGACGTCTACACTGGCCCTATGGCATGTGTTCCAGATAAAACAGATGAAGCTAAGTGTTCACTTAGAAAAGTTAACAAGAAAAACAATGAACTGGGCTGAAATGCATTGGTAGGTGGGGTGGTTGTGCAAACATGAGGCTCGGATTGCATCTAGCGCCCACATAAAAAGCTGGGCGTGATGTCACGGACTTGTAATCTCAAGGCTAGAGACATAGGAAGGAAGAATCTTGGGTCTGCTTACCAGTCAATCAAGCAGAATTAGCTTCAGGTTTGCCTTAATTCTGTTTGAAAAAGTGAGGAAAAGGGGGAAAGCAATTGAGGAAATTACCCATTGTCAACCTTTGGCCTCCATACACACGCATGCACACTTCTTACCCCTGGCTCCATACACACGCATGCACACTTCTTACCACCCACTCAATTTTTTTTTAATAGAAAATAATATTGCATGGACTGGAAAGCATTTGCTGCTTTTGCAGAGGACCAAGTTCATGTTCAGTCCTCAACACCCATGTTACACAGATTACGACCACCTCTAACTCCAGTTCCAGAGGATGCATACACACATAGATACAAGTGGAGGCCAGAGCAAGACCTTGACTGTCTTCCTTTATGGTTCTGTTGTCACCTTGAAACAGTCAGTCACACACACACACACACACACACACACACACACACACACGGGAAACAAGTCAACTATGAGATTTTGAAGGGCTAGTGACATGGCTCAGCAGATAAGGCCACTAATCACCAAGCCTGGCAAGCTGAGTTCAATCCCCATGACCTACAAGAGTTTAAGGTTATCCTATAACCTCTATATGGGTACTGTGACACCTGCCCCCCCCCAAAAAAAAAAACAAAAAGAAGAAAAATTATTTTGAAGAAAAAGATGAGGAAATCTTCCTTGCAAAGTATATGTGAGGAGAGATGGCTCAGCAGTTAAGAGCGTTCTCAATAGTTAAGAGCTTTTATTGCTTTAGGAGGGAACCTGGGTTTGGTTCTCTGCACCCACATAGTGGTTCATAACTATCTGTAATTCCAGTTTCAGGGGATCTAAGGCCCTTTGACTTCTGCAGGTACCAATCTTGAATGTGGTGCACAGAGTTACATGCCAACAAAACACCCCAATAGAAGCATGGCAGTGGTGGTACACACCTTTAGTCCCAGAGGATTAAACTCAGAGGCCAAAGTTTTGAGCCAGCCTGGTCTACAGAGTGAGTTCTAGGACAACCAGGTTTACACAGAGAAATCATGTCTCAAACAAAAGCACTACTATATACAAATATATTTTTTAAAAATTTAAATGCTCAGTATAAATCATTTTTTAAAAAATTATTTTAAGTGTATGAATGTCTTGTCTCTACACCACTTTTGTGGTGCAGTGCCCTCAGAAAGCAGAAGAGAGAAAGTGTCAGGTCCCCTGGAACTGTAGTCCTAGGCTTAAAGGCATGCTCTGTTGTGGAGTAATCTTTTTGTACGTTGTGAAGATGTATTTTTCCCAAGGCACCTTTTGATTGGTTTAATAAAGAGCTGAATGACTAACAGCTAGGCAGGAAGAGATTAGGCAGGACTTATAGGCAGAGGGAGAGAAAGAGGAGATGAATTTAAGCATGAGAGAGACACCAGAGAACATGAAAGGAAACAGGAGGTACAAGATGGGAGAAAGCTGGTGGCTTCCCTCCAAAAAATCTACACATGGCACCCAGCATCCGGCCACATATATCCTCATAAGGCCTGAAAAAGACAGTATATATCTCTGCAAGTCAGAAGAGGGCACCAGATCTCATTACAGATGGTTGTGAGCTACCATGTGGTTGCTGGGAATTGAACTCAGGACCTCTGGAAGAGCAGCCAGTGCTCTTAACCACTGAGTCACCTCTCCAGTCCTGGCATTTAATATCATAGGACTTTCCATACCAATGAGACACATTTGTTCCTGGTAGCACTGATCAACTTCATAAAAGGATGATGGGCATCAAAGAACCTCCATATGGAGTTTGCTTTCATTATGGCAAAGTTAGTCATTTGGGCAAGAAACTGCCCCTTGCCTCAACTGCTGCCAGAATGCTGTCTAAATTGGACAGGCAGGACACAAAGGAAGACAACTGCCAAACTTTGCCAAGACAAAGTATGATAGTTCTTCAAAATTCCTGCTTTACAGAAAAGTCTGTCAGATAGTTTAGGCCCACAGGTCAAATATGGTTGCCCCAACATTGTAGAGGAACCTTGGGTG